TATATATATCATTTTCTATCTATGCTGGTTACTGTGGTATATAAATACCTTATCTTTCCCAAACACATAGTTTCCAGAGGCGTCAAAATGGCCTTCCTCTTCTTCTTCTTCCAAATTAAACGGCGTTATCTTGACTCCTACTTCACTGTACTTCTCAGTTGCGTCTTCTTGGCCTTCAACATCCCTTACATCCAAAATATTATACTTGAGCACTCCTTTCTTATCAGCGGCTTCGTCATCACTGCCTCCACTATCTTCGTCGACATCTCTAGAAACCTCACCCATGCCCCTACCAGCCAGCCCATACGAAGTGTCTTTGATCTCTATACCTTGCAGTACAGTACTGTCCTGGCCGTGAGATTCGGTCTTGTCTTCGACTTCTATTGTCTTAGTCTCGATAACCGGATCAAATTGCACTCGTTTGGACATGGTTGTTTCGTACTTCAAACTTGGTTAAGTTAGTCTCTCTAGTACCACGCTATCTAGAGAGTTATGTACTCTCTTGGTATTGACATCGTCTGTGTATAAGGTGTTCCTTAAAATTGTAACATAAATAATATAGCATGTATTTACTATTTAGCTCTCGGCCTCGAACTAACAAGTTGAGTCTTATTTTTTGTCTAGAAGATTTTTTTTTTAATAAAGGGTTTGTTTGTTTGTTTTTGAAAAAAAAATTAGACAGTTTTGTTTTTGTTTTTGTTTGTTTTTACTTTTTATAAAAATAAAATAATAAAAATAGTAAACAAGAAACATCGGCGGCGTCCGTCCCACATGACCCATGCCCCAAAATTCACGTATGTATTTAAATGTATATTGTATAGAGTATTTACGCGAGTCTGTGGGTCCGTCGGGGGTCGGCCGTCCGACGTCCGTCGTCACCCGTTAGCGACGAGTGACGACCACGTAGCCCGGAGACTCAGACCCTACCATTTAGTAGAGAGGCCCCAGTCACTCCAGAGCCCCCACAAGAGAGTGTTGTACACACCCTAAAATATTTTTAAAATACATATACTCGCAAAAATACAAATTTGATATTTGTACCAGACCCACGTTGTATAAATTTCAGAGTGAACACCTTCAACAATTTTCTAAGCTGTAAACAAATGTCTGAAGCGGATAAGCAACGCGCGCCTGCGCTTCCCCCCATTCCCGTGGGTGAAGATGGTGAACCACAGTACAGTAAGAGTGAATGGAAGCGCATGTGCAAAGCCGACCAGAAGGCCAAGGAAAAGGCTGCCAAAGCGGCCAGTGCCCCAACTGAAGCCCGCAAAGCATCTGTGCACGATGAGGAGGCAGACGAGGCCAATTTGGATCCCCGTCAGTACTTTGAGTTGCGTAACAAGATGGTACAAGCCATGAAGAAATCAGGTACAGTCGAACCCTACCCCCATAAATTTCACGTGACCATCTCGATTGAGGCCTTCAACGCGAAATACGCGAACCTAGAACCCGGACAGAGGGCTGAGGGTGACTCTGTATCGGTATCGGGTCGCATCCACTCCAAGCGTGCGTCTGGTAATAAGCTCATCTTCTACGATTTGACTGGTATGGGTAACAAATGCCAGGTTATGGCGGATGCGCGTGAGATGGAGGACTTTGAGGCAGTGCACGGTAACATCCGCCGTGGTGACTGTGTGGGTGTCGTTGGTGTACCTGCCAAGACTAAGCGCGGTGAACTTTCTATCATCCCAAATAAGTTTCAACTTCTCGCCCCATGTCTGCATGCCATTCCCAACGACCACTACGGCTTGAAGGACCAGGAGCTGAGATACCGTATGCGATGGCTGGACTTGCTGGTGAACCCCAAGACGCGACAGAGTTTGACCATGCGATCTCGCATCATCCAGTACTTGCGTAGATATTTAGACGATCGAGACTTCTTGGAAGTTGAGACACCAATGTTAAATGCCATCCCCGGTGGCGCTGCGGCAAAGCCTTTCAAGACTTTCCACAACGATCTTAAGATCGATATGTTCATGCGAATCGCACCCGAGTTATACCTCAAAATGTTGGTTGTGGGTGGTTTGGATCGAGTATACGAATGCGGTCGTCAGTTCCGTAATGAAGGAATTGATCTGACGCACAACCCGGAATTCACTACTTGCGAATTCTATATGGCCTATGCTGATTACCATGGTATGTATCACGTGTATCTGTTTATTGTACTTGGTGTTGCGACGAGTTAGCCTGCTCGTCAGTTCGGACATACTGTACGCAATATTTCTGATTCAATATTATAGGTGTATCAATAATATCATTGATGAATGGGCGGGGCACCTTCGCCGTTTATGATTTATTGGTTGTGCGGAGGTATACGGTGTTGGCTAGTTTATTGTAGCTTCTATCTCTGGGCATCCTGTCGAATTATTTTAATCTTTTGTATCGTATGCTACCTTATATCGCTTGAAAGTTCTATGCTAGGTTGTGAAAATTAACTGGGTTTCTCCATTTTCATTTTTATCCTCACTTGTAGACCTACTTTGAACAAACCACGCTGTTTTACATATGTAGTACGTCCAATGCCTGATGACATTTTTACCCTTCAGTGTCAAGTCTTTCTTGTTATAAGATCGGAACTACTTTTTGTAAGCGGATTCTGCAGAAAAGCAAACGCCGAACATTCACTTCCTATCGCTCTGAATGGCCAACATGTGTTCTCCAACAATAGTAGATAGCTCGTCCCGTATACTGCTCGTGTTGCGTTCACTACTTCAGGATATTTGTCTTTTATTTAGACGATGTCTCGAAATTAGCAAGTTGTTGCTAGAACACGATTTGACCAGAGATTTGCGAAGAGTAAAAGATACCGTTCTTATTCATTGAACTATCATCGCAATATCTCAGCATCATTCTATCGCTGTAGCTGACCCTCTTATACCCCCCCCCACTTGTTAGATCTTATCAACATGACTGAGGAGCTTGTATCTGGTATGGTATTGGCCTTGAAGGGAAGCTACAAGATTAAATACCACATGAATGGCCCTGACGAGGAACCTGTTGAGATTGACTTCACTCCTCCTTTCAAGCGCGTATCAATGATCTCTACGCTAGAGGAAAAGCTAGACTGTAAATTCCCGGACTCGTCAAAGCTCAGTGAAGATGAGGCACGCGAATTTCTGGATAAGTTATTGGTGAAACACAATGTAGACTGTTCAGCTCCCCGAACAACCGCTCGTATGCTGGACAAGCTTGTGGGTGACTTTATCGAAGTAGACTGTATCAACCCCACATTCATCTGTGATCACCCAGAAGTTATGAGTCCACTGGCCAAGTGGCATCGATCAATGCCTGGATTGACAGAACGTTTCGAATGTTTCGTGGCTACCAAGGAGATTTGCAACGCATACACAGAGTTGAACGACCCCGCTGTACAGCGTGAACGATTCCAACAGCAGGCTAAGGATATCAACATGGGTGATGACGAAGCACAAATGGTATGTTACTGTGGCTAATTCTTTACATAACTAATTCACGCTGCAGTCCACTTCTCGGTTTTGTGTTTGTCAAACTTTTTTTATTTTATGGTCGAAGTGGTGCATCGCTTCTATTGCCAGTCCTTCTACGCTACCTGTTGAGCAGTTTTTGATGTCTTTCGTCATATTGATATGTTTTAGGTTGACGAGACCTTCTGCACTGCTTTAGAATATGGTCTACCACCTACTGGTGGTTGGGGTATGGGTATGGACCGCTTGACTATGTTTTTAACTGATAGTCAAAACATTAAGGACGTACTCTGTTTCCCTGCGCTAAAGCCTAAAGACGAGTAATTTGCTGAACACTTCCGTAAGTTCTACGTACAGAATGGCAAATTAGGACAGGCATCTTGCTTCATGTTGGACTTAATAAAGTGTTAATTAGTTTTAGACCAAAGCACTGTTTATATTTATTCGAAAGTGCCGAAACCTCTCGAATCTATCAAAATATCGATTTAAACCACACCTGCATATTAATGAAGCAGACTCGTTATATCGCAACACGCCAGCTAATATGCGGTGGTGAGTTTGAAAATCGAATACATTCTCAGCTCTGTTTTAAATGTCCTGTGGGTAGTTCTCGAATTGTGCGAATGACTGGCCTGGTGGATATTGTAACCAGTTTCCTTCACTCCACTGCGCTCCACCGGACGGGCCTTCCACTAAATGCAACTGGAAGCTATGTCGTGCTTTCCCAGATTTGTTTGCATAGCTCTTATGCATGAAAGCACCGTGCAGGAAAACAGCGTCCCCTGCTTTCATCATGAGGGGCACGTATGAATCACCTTCCGTTTTGGGGTCTGGTGACAGGAATTTCAAAAATTTAGATTAGAACGTGTGTAATATGGAAACACAAATCACTATTCAGATCTAAACGAAGACAGTTGAATAACCTCACCTGGTGCTGTGCTGGTCGGCTTCATAACCATCCTAGTTTCGCCGTCTTCTTTCCAATTCGGATTGGTATTGCGTGTGAAGTAGGAGTAAACCCCACCCTTATGGCTTTTTGGTCTACCCCATAAACACCCATTCTCCTACAAACACAAAACGAGATTGCTTTACAGGTTTGATAATTAATTTGGAACAAATTTGTCGTAGAACATTGGAGGTGTAGTAAGTAGCCTCTAAAATACATCGAAGCATATATCGAAGGAGCCTATACATACTAGTGTCGCATCTTCTAGCGCCACCCACAAGCCCAAGCAACTCGGCGGGTTGGTCGTCAGGAAAGATGAGTCTTGATGTTCAGTGACCTGGCGAAAAAAAAATAGGAGGTGAAGTGATATATACAGCTAATTTCTCGATTGCACAATTTTCGACGTACAAATCCGGAAATCCGGAGTTTTAGCATACCTCGCCTCCAATCTTTGGCTGTTTGAAGATGTACATCGACTGCACCAGGGATGGTGATTTATACCCCATCTTGTGCACTGCCTACTCAATGAAATGGTAAAGATATAAGTCTATACGTTGTAATTCAGCTGAAAAGGGAAAAATTGAAGACCACAAAATGGGCAAAGCCATGGACTGTAAAACGAGATACTTACCGAACTCACTTTACCAGACTGCACGAAGTTCTTAAACACGGGGTCATGAATGTGAAGGGCATGCCCAGCCTATGTTGTGACGGAACGTTAAAGGCATGATTAGAGTCTGAGGTCGTGACAAACGGAGAGAGAAAAATAGAAAGAAACGAACATCACAACCCATTGTACCTTGTTTATAGCGTGTGATTTATCTTTTTGCAGCATTCCATTCTTTTCGGCGTCCTCCTCTAGGAAGAAACTATACAAATAGGGGGAACATTTAGACAACTTGAATTATTGAGAGGGCTTTATCTATTGAAGAGTGGTTTTTAACGGATATATACACCCTTGGATCTAGAAAGAATTGGAGAAAAGAAACACCTTATTCGGTTAGCTGAGTCCATGAAGTGATCATCACTCGTTCTGGCTTGCTCTTTAGTTGTAAAAACGGAAGTGTCCTCTACGTTCCAGTCCGAGATGAGCTCCGCCATGCGTCCTTTTAATGCTTGGCATTCTTCATCGGACGCGAAGTTCTCAACCACCAAGTACCCTTCGTCATGATATTGACGTATTTGTTCTGCCGTTAGCTCGGTAGTCATCATTGTTTCATTCGTATGCTTATTTCTGACAGCTTGCTTCACTCTTCACTGTCAACAGTGTGCACATAAATAAATGCTGTCGAAGTATGATAAATAAATTGAAACACGACTCCTAAGAAGTGTCGATTTTTTCATGACCCTCTCTAGAGAATAGTTCGGACGGACGGACGGACGCATGACCCTCTCTCTACTGTAGAGAGAGACTCTAAAGAATTGCGAAATCTGTAGATCGGACGTCTACCGTCAATAGATAAGTAATAACCTCATAAAGTTCAGGGCACATGCCACAAGTTCGAACTTTTTTATTTATTTAGAGAAGCACCACCGATGCCCTTTTTTTTGTCAAAGTTCTGTCTTTTTTAGGCCGGCATGAAAAGTTCACTATATTACGTCCGAAGGACATTTTCTGAAACTCAGCATTGTATTTTACAGTATTTATCAGTGTTTTAAGAATATGTTACCGGCTTTTTGAATAAATATCAAAAGAAGCATAACAGCTCTTGAACATAGCCTTCCCCTCCTGTCTGATAAATAGAAGCGATCACACGAAGCCGTGGACGGTGGACGGTGGACGGTGTACGTTTTTCTTGGCCACAAAACCAATTTCCCGCAAACAACCCACAGCTTTCTAAACAAGGTACAGAAACTTCTGAAAACTTGGTTTGTACATATTTTTAATCTACGAAGAAAGATCATTGGGTAATCAATAAAATCTGGCGTAAAAATACAGCACACATAGATCTTGCGCGATAAGACATTGAATTTGACACTTTATCAGTATGACCTTCACTGAAGCGGGATTCAGCCTTTCTCTCCGTCCGAAAAAGTTGTTTTCTATGTCTCGTGTTAAAAAAATACTTCAGATAATTTTGATTTAATGATTGAATATCAGTATCGATAGTTGCATACATCAGTATCGGACATCCAATAGACAAAATACAGCCTTCCTACATTCCTAAACAAATCGGTTCCGTGTGCTAATAGAATCGACAAGATGGCAAGGATTTACACTAAGAGCATGCAGGAGGTGCTCGATCCAATCGCAGCGAGTATATCAATGTTAATCATGCAGATTGAAGATTGCCAGGTCAATGGTACCTACCTATCTGACCTTTCAGCACCAGCAACTATTGTCAAGCGCGCATGCAAGGTTTGTTACCTTTTCACTGAGAAAGTTTTCTATATATTTAAGTGGTACAATGGATTCGACAGTATGATGTGATTATATAACGAAAGGTATTGACAAGTGAACTAAGATTGGTTGAGAATTACGACAATCACTTGTAGAGCTTATGGTATGTAGTATTCATACAGAGTCCTACCAACTACATATATATATATATATATATATATATGTGTGTGTGTGTCGTGTTGTGTGTATGTATATGTACATGTATATGTATATGTATATGTATA